ATTGGGTACATGAAAGACCAGAGTGATGTTAGTCCAGCACATTCTTCCCAGGCAAAATTCTTGAATTTTTCTGAATCCTAGGGCTAAGCACTCATCCCTAGCTTTGTTCCACATTTATCTAGCTATTTCCTCTCATTTTAAAAAAGGTACCAGCAAGGGCAAGAGGGGCTGCTGAGAGGAACCTTTCCTTTCTTGGGATCAATTCCAACACTGAGCAAGAGGCACAATGGGACAATTCTCAAGGGACATGTGCCACCTCTGAGTGCATAGTGTGGCCATACACTCTATCATAAAAAAAGTACCTATGCAAAGCTAACTTATTAAGAGACCTTCATACAGATGGGCAAATGTACTGCATGTACAAAACATTCAATGTTATACCACAGAATATTTTATATAAGACATTTGTGTGCTGCCCTTCAAAAATATTTCTGCTAGGTAAGTTCACAATCCAAAACTGTAAAAATATGCAGTGCAACATGGATATAATTTGGAACAGAAGCCTAATCTGAACATTTTCTTTTGTCACTTTTTTATTTTCCAACCAATATTAATGGTTGTAACTTTGTATAGAGGTTTTCAAGTGTGCCCCACCATCAAGTCCTCCATTACAAGGATGGGAATGCTATGTCTGTCCAGATGTCAAAGACTCTAATTCCCACCAGCCCCAGACAGCTTCTGAGTGCCAGTGGCTGGAAACCACAGGAGGGGAGATTTCTGTGGCACTCCTCAGGTCCTGCTTGCATAGACATCTGGGTCGGTTATTGTGAGAAGAGGATGCCGGACTGGATAGGCTATTGGTCTGATCCAGCACCACCTTCTTAGAAGAGAAATTCGCTCCTTTTTTATGCATAGGTTAAAAAATATTGATTGGTTAAAAGCCGAGAAATTAATCATCAACTTAAAAGAGAGAGAGGACTTTACTCAGCCTTTTCATTCTCAAGCATGTTTAGTGACCCCAGATTACTCCATAGTCACCTGAATTCCAAACAAGGTCAGGAAGTGAGATGCAGGTTGCATTAAAAGCCCAGAGCATTTATCACCCGAGGAAATGTGTCACAAACACAACCCCTTGATACCCTTCGATAAAGTTACAAGGCAGGAAGCTCAGACCTGCATCACATTCACCTGCCTTTCCCATATAGTCAATTCTATGAGAACTTTTATAAGGCCAGCATAATCTTTTACATTCTTATAAACACTGTATCTGGCTCAACAGTTGCATTTTCCATCTAGTTTTTTTATTAACAGGGATCCGTATACAGGATTGATTCAATTTCTGATATATGAAGGGATGAGGGGAGGAATATTTTCTGCGGCACAGTTTTATTTTCTTCGTACTTAACGTCCTACGGATGGTAAAGCCAATGTACATGTTGAAAGCAATTGCATAGCAGAGTCCCTGAACTACCCTTTCCTCATATGAGGTCAGGAAAGAATTTTCTCTCTGTTTCCCCAGATTTCCTCACATTTTCTTGAGAGCTCAGGAGGGAGGAAGAGAAGGGATGCAATGAAGCACTGTGAGTGCCACACTCTGTCTGCACAGAGGTCAAACAAGGGTGAATTGGCTCTGATTCTGCATAATGGAGGGCACAGATCTGGGGTGCACTCAGATATCATATTAAACAACCTTAGCCTCCCCCCAAACTTGTGCATCCCATTATCCCATGTTCTCCTCTAGCACATACTCAATAAAGAGATCAGAAACCACACTCAAGATGAGCAGTGGGGAGGGGAGAGTGGGCAAGCCCAGGGTTCAATGTGACTTGCACTTGTAAAGCTATTATGGTGGTTCAAACTTACATCTGTACTTGTCTAGGGTGTTCAAAGAATATGTGTGTTGGGGATGACATTGTTGGGATGTGCACAGCAAACAGGATTCATGAGCAAACACATCAATGTTCCTTGCTATGAACATCTGCCCAAGCTTCACTAATCCCTCTAATAGCAAACTCAGGTTGTGATTGCCACCAGAAGCAGATCTCAAATAGGACCATTGAAAAACAACAGGCGATCCTAAAAAGAGCCTGCTGTATCAGGCCACTGGCCAGCCTAGTCCAGCATTCCTGTTCTCTGGACAGCCAGATGCCTGTGAGAAACGGGAGGAAACAAGAGGAAAGTATCAGTCTGCTCAGTGGACCTCTGAGGTTTACAGAAGGAAACAAAAACATTTGAAAGCCTAAGGGGGCAAATGAGGACTGAGCATCTTCAGTAGCCTCGAAATGTTGATAGTTCATTGAAAAGGAAACTGGGAAGCTGGGAAGGTAGGGTAGGCAATATTCTGCATCAGCCTCTAGCAATTTATAGTATTCTGAAAGAGGATACTTGGCTGGCTGGCTGGCTGGAACCCTGAACAGGAATACTCATGTTAGGAGGTGAGAAGGATACCTTTTTGATTCAGGTCCCAGTTGTGTTCCCTTTTGAAGAATAGGCTCCACATTAGATAGCTTCCTTTCAGTAGGCTTGCATATTTGAACAAGCCTTGTGCCTGCAACATGCAAATGTGAGCTTTTATTTTAAATACACAGAGTTCCCTTTAATATACCGTAACTATGGCAGGCGACCTTGCCTTTTTCATCCTTTCAGGTCTGCTGAATAAACCTGAGCCTAAGACTATTAGATGGAAGCTTGGATTGAAATGTTAAGCATCAGTCCCTTGATCACTTAGTAAAGCCGCCCAATTTCTGTGTTGTTCAAACACTGCTTTCCGGCCTTGGATGGGAAAGTGCCTGCCAATTCATTTCTCTCCCGTTATCAGCAAAGTGCATATACTGCGCTCATGTTTCTTAACGGAAAATACAGAGAAGACAAAATCCCTAAACTGTCAGGAGGTCTGCTGGCTTAAATGCTGGGCAGATCCTCATCCCTTTGCATGTGCTTTCATTCGAAAAGGCCGTGTTCGCTGAACAATGCTGGTGAATTTCAAAGTGCATTTTACATTAATTAGATTTTGAGAAAGGGCTTGAGCACGATCCATCTTCTCCACTCAAAAAGCTGCATGTGGAAGAGGTGGTGTCTATAGAGCAAGGGTGGAGAAGCTTTTTCAAGCCAAGGGCCACATTTGATCTTTGAGAGCCAGTGTGGTGTAGTGGTTAAGAGTGGTGGACTCGTAATCTGGTGAACCGGGTTCGCTTACCCGCTCCTCCACATGCAGCTGCTGGGTGACCTTGGGCCAGTCACACTTCTCTGAAGTCTCTCAGCCTCACTCACCTCACAGAGTGTTTGTTGTGGGGAAGAAGGGAAAAGGGGATTGTTAGCTGCTTTGAGACTCCTTAGGGTAGTGATAAAGCGGGATATCAAATCCAAACTCCTCCTCCTCCTCCTCCTCCTCCTCCTCCTCTTCTTCTTCTTCAACAACCTGTCAGGACCCACAGGCTAACACTGGGAGGTGCCAGATGCAAAAGTGGGTGCAACAATCAATGTATATTCTACCTGAGGACATCTACACACATACACATAAACACACGCCTCTATTCTTCATCCAGACAAGCAAGGGGCATCATCAGAGTTCATAGACAACTTCAAGCCAGGCAAAAACATTTAAGGAGGCATGGTGAAGAGTATTGCTGGGGGAGAGTTCCAAGGCCTGGCCAGAGAGGCCTGGAGAGCTGTATTTTGCTTCTGGGCCAAAGCTCCCCAGCTGTGCTATATAGCATGTATCCCTGCATGCATTGCACCAAGTGTACTCCAAGGCACCTATCACCTTGGATATGTGGGAACTCCAGGGCTCTGGTACACAGGCGTCCTATGCAATTGCCTGCAAGGGGCAAGATGGTCAGTACGTATTACCACAATCCTGCACCGTTTACTTTTGGTTACAAGTTTGTTTCTGAGTCCAATTTACAGTGCTGGTATTGACCCTTAAACAACTGAGAGGCAGGATATTGAAGGTCTGCCTCTGCCTCCAAGAACCTTCCCAAGCATTAAGATCTGCTTTATATGCCCTGCTCTGTGGCCTGCCACAGGCTCGGTGTTAAATTGGTTCAATTTCCATATTGGGATTTGACTGCAGGCCAGAACCAAACCAGGTAGCTACCAAAGCACTTCAGACCAAATAGGACTGTTTCTGAAGAGCCAGATTGGGGTATAAACCAAATGTTGTCGTTGGTACACACTCCTGATTTATACCCTATTGTATACTTCAAGGTGGCTTTCAAAATAGTGATGCAATAAAACCACAGTATTATACAGAAAGAACAATTGGGTGGGGGTTGGGAAGCTGAAGTAAGAGACATCATAAAAAAAAACCCCGAAAGATAAAATTCAGCATCTGAAGGTCAATAGCCTTCCTATATAGGAAGGTTTTAACACTTTGATGCAACACAAGCAAGAAGAGTGCTGTCCCGTGTTCTTCCAGCTTAGGGTCACATGGGGGGCTCAGCTGGTGCTCATAGGACAGAGGCCACATCCCAAAGAGGAGAATCGCAGCAAGGCTAGCTTGGAAGTTCAGTCAAATCCAGTAAGGCACTGCCAGATCAGAAGCAGAGTAGCAGGGCAAAAAGGCAGCTTGTCAGCACCATGGAGAGCTCACAGTTGTTTAGTCGTTTAGTTGTGTCCGACTCTTCGTGACCCCATGGACCAGAGCACACCAGGCACTCCTATCTTCCACTGCCTTCCGCAGTTTGGTCAAACTCATTCTGGTAGCTTCAAGAACACTGTCCAACCATCTCGTCCTCTGTCGTCCCCTTTTCCTTGTGCCCTCCATCTTTTCCAACATCAGGGTCTTTTCCAGGGAGTCTTTTCTTCTCATGAGGTGGCCAAAGTATTGGAGCCTCAGCTACAGGATCTGTCCTTCCAGTGAGCACTCAGGGCTGATTTCCTTCAGAATGGAGAGGTTTGATCTTCTTGCAGTCCATGGGACTCTCTAGAGTCTCCTCCAACACCATAATTCATGTGTTGCCAAATACAAAACTTAACACAACATTGGTCAAGCCCACGCCTTGACCATTCCCTTTCCTACCACATTGGCTGGTGAAGGGCCTTGCATGCACATTGTGAAAGGACCGTAGCTCAGTGATGTAGCATCTACCTTGCAAGCAAAAGCTCCCAGGTTCAATCCCTGGAGTCTCCAGGTAGAGCTGGGGGAAACTGCTTCCCAAAAGCAACTGGCAGTCAGTGTAGACAATACTGAGTTAGATGGACCAATAGTCTGACTCCACATAAGGCAGCTTCCGGTGTTCCAGTGCCACTGACAAAACGTCTATTTTCTTTCCCAGGTGTTGAGGTTCATCCCTGAAGCAGGTCACATCAGGAGGAGGGGCAGAACCAAGAACAATATGGCGCTGATCGATATTCAACTGGAGCACCATGAGCGTTGCGATTGTGTCTGCAGTGCAAGGCCACCTCGATAAAAAGAGACCATGCCATCCCGTTTGCAACTGAAAAGGACCTCTTTCCCTTGAAGGAGGAGCAGTCTGCAGAAGTTGGCCCAGTGGCCACTGAACTTTGCTAACAACCTGGCTTGTAGCTGGTAGAGGCGCCCACAGCCTCCCAACTCCAAGTACTAAGTGCCATGACAGCTAATCATTAATAACACTGATTTATGGTATCCGACTTCAAATATGGGATTAAGCAGTAGAAAACAAGAGAAGCCAAAAGCTGAAATCTTCAGTGCATGCAGTGAGCATGATAGCAGTATTCTTTTGGCTGAATTTCCCAGTTGGCTTTAAAAAAAAAGAATCAACCTACATGTTACACAGTGAGTAGGCATGCAGGTATTCATATGCTGCTGCACACAGCCCTTTGCGCATACAGCCTATTGACTTAAGCACACTTAAAATGTAAATAAGGAAAATTCTTATGGGCATACATGTATTCCAAATAGCTAATCTCAGTTTATACATATTCACCCAGTCCAGCATATGTACACCATGAAGAAACAGTTGCCCGCGCATGGATCTGACGTAATGGATATACGTTACAGAACATTAGTGCTGTATGGGGGAGCAGAAGACCACATCCACCAATGTAAGATACATATCCATGCCCATTATTTTGCATGCCTTGATATATCCATTGCAACACAGAGACCGCCAGAAGCAGAGTAAGCAATTGCTGCGGCCTGTGCATAGCCTTCTGCTTGCTCATAAAGTATTCTGGATTATGTTGAAGAGCTCCCCCTTATCCCTTCAAAATACAGGTTCAGATTCCCAAAAGACTATGATGAACAGAATCATATGCAATGCATGAAGTCTATTTTTGATTGGACTAACATCCACCAGTGTGCCATGTTGTAGCCCAGAGCTGCTAGACATCTTAAGTTGCATTTAGTGTAGGGATGAATGGTTTCTGCATTGTCGGGAACCGCACTTATTCTACAGATAGTCATCGGCATGGTGGAGCTTAGTGGAATCCTCCATGGTGTTTCTGAAGAAAGTTTGGGAATCTTCAGCTGTTTCTATTTGGTTCTAGAATATTCCTTCCCATCCCACAATCCACACACATTTCTAGACCTAGGACTGAGGTCATGAGCACAATGCTTTGTCCAAAGACAGTAGCACACAAATAGCCTTAACAATGAGGAATGCAAGATAGGTTCCTCTGTTCCATGCAGAATTCTCACCTGGTTGGGTAGAAAAGCAAAATAACTTCCCTTCTTCACTACTTCATCTCATCCCTAATCTGCTCCTGTGTTTAAAGTGGAGCACCTTAGAAGGTTCCTTAATAATAATATGTATCATTTGTATAGTGTGTTTTTTTAAGTGTTCAAAGTGCTTCTCATACATTATATAGCAGCAATTTATTCAACAACCCCATAAGGTTGTTATACTTTTGTAAGGCAAATCAATATTATTATCCCCCATATTGAAAATGGGGGTGAGGCTGAGACTGAGAAACCACTTAGTGGTTTGACTAAGGCCATTTAAGTGAGGGCCCATCTGCACTATACATTAAAAGCACTATCATACCACTTTAAACAGTCATAGCATCTCCCAAAGAAACATGGGAACTGTATTTTGTTAAAGGCGTTGAGCTTTGTAAAGGGCCCCAATTCCCCTTCCAGAGCTCCAATTCCTGGGCTGGTTTAACAGTCAGTCTCTGTTTGCAGGGGCTCTGGGAACTGTATTCTGTGGGAGTGGGATAGGTTTCCCCTAAGAACACACATTAAAGGGACGCGGGTGGCGCTGTGGTCTAAACCACTGAGCCTAGGACTTACCGATCAGAAGGTTGGCAGTTTGAATCCCCGCGATGGGGTGAGCTCCCATTGCTTAGTCCCAGCTCCTGTCCACCTAGCAGTTCAAAAGCACACCAGCGCAAGTAGATAAATAGGTACCGCAACAGAGTGAGCTCCCGTTGCTTGATCCCTGCTCCTCCCAACCTAGCAGTTCAAAAGCACATCAAAGTGCAAGTAGATAAATAGGTACCGCTCCAACGGGAAGGTAAAGGGCGTTTCCGTGCGCTGCTCTGGTTTCGCCAGAAGCGGCTTAGTCATGCTGGCTACATGACCCGGAAAAACTGTCTGCGGACAAACGCCGGCTCCCTCGACCAGTAAAGCGAGATGAGCGCCGCAACCCAAGAGTCGTTCGCGACTGGACTTAACTGTCAGGGGTCCCTTTACCTTTACCGTTACCTAAGAACACACATAAGAACATAGGAAGATCCTGCTGGAGCAAACAAATGGCCCATCTAGTCCACATCCTGTTCTCACAATGGCCAACCAGATGCCTCCTAACAACTCTCAGCATCCCTAGCAAACTACAGTTCCCATAGTTCTTTGTGGAAAGCCAGGTCTGTTTAAGGTGGCACGCTACTGCTTTAAGTCTATAGTGTACTTAGGGCTTGAGTTAATGTCAGAGGTGAGATTCAAACTGGGGATCTTCAGTATCTTAGCCACTACACTAAACCAGCTCTTCCTGCATATGTACGTATTCAGTGGGCAAGAGTTGAGTTCTACCTTGTCTGTATTCTTTTAGTTGCATATAAAATGCCATACTTTTCTCATTGTATACTATAGTGTTAACTGCATCTAGTAGCTTCCATAGCCAAGTTTGAACTTTTGGCACTTAAAAAAAAAAAGATCATGGGATTGAATTTTTGGTGAGGCATATTAATGCCTTGAGCCTCACCTGATTCTTGCTGAGTAATACTGAATGCTTATTATTTTCACAGAATATAGATATGCATTTACTGCCTGCCTCCTGGCAAAATAACATACTTTTAAAGGCTACTTCCATAGCCAGCTTTTGAACATATTATGTGAATGTGCTTTTGAACTTATGAGAAAGTTCTTTGATTAAGGTATGGAAGAGGATCCTTTCCAATCATGTTTTTGATTTGATTTCACCCACCCTCCCAATGCGACTTGTCCAGTGCAAAATGTAGGCCATTTTGGCAATGAACTCTTGGTTGTGGATATAATGGGGAAAATAGGGTGGAAGATTTCACAGACAAGGATTTATACTTAACAGCAGTCTGAAGCTGCACTTCATTTTTATGGGTTGCTTTTTCATGCCTGTCTCTAAGGACGAAAGGAATGGTTTTACAATAGCATTTCCTGCATTAAACTGAAATTGGCTTGTTATCAGGTAATATTGTGAACTTTTAAACCGCCCCTGTTCTGCTGATTATATCAGTGGTAGAGTTCTAAAATTATCTCTGTCCTCTAGATTGGTTTCTTTTATCAAGTTGAATGCATTATCTGCTCCCTGTTTTTATATCTCTATCAAAGCCTTCTTGGAATACAGTTTAAATACTGAGTGAGTTGCCACTTAACATTCTGGTGGAACTCGTAGGAAGCCAAACATGGCTTGTGGGATTTCTTGGTCTTCTTTTATTCAACTTGGGTGTATTTTTTTTCCAGGATGCCTCTTTAAGATGCTTAATTCATTATGCTCCTATACTCAGTGAGCAGCTTTGAAGCCAAAGATTCTCAGCTTTATTACTTATTTTGAAAAAGGTTCTTCACAATTCTTCACTTGGGCAAAACTTCCTAGAATTCCATGTTAATACCGAGAAACTAGAATGTGAAATATATGTGTGTTTATAAGCCTTAGTAGACACTATTAACTATACCGTTGTCCATGTAGGGCAACTGCATGTTTTTTCATGAGGTTTTCATGAGAGTTCCATTTAGTTTGACTTTTTCATTGAAACTTGACTCTTTGCTTCAGGCATGTGGTGGGCTGTTCACAAGGGTGAATTTCATGCATTGGGATGTGTGTGTTTGTGTGACAGTGCATGTGAGCTCAGTCATAGGATCTACCACAGCCTTCCCCAATCTGGTGGCCACCAGATGTTTTGAATTGCAATTCATTTCTCACCATTGCTGAACTACAGAAACTGGAAGGTTACATGAGCCTGAGATTTGCTCCTGCCTTGATTTGGACCTTCCTTGTGAACAGTCCTGATAACCTGAATTAGCAAAAGTCATATTCTGCTTTGAAGGTGGGTTGGTTTTTTTTTAACAATCAAGTGGATAAATTTATCAATCAATCAATAATATTCACAAAATGAACCAGGTTGGCTCTGCCAGCTCCTGTCCCTTGGCACCACCTTTCATGTCCTCTGAGCTAGCAAAGAACATGATGCTCGTGTAGAGTGGACCATGCAAATGTGTTCATGTGCAACGTCTACAAAATCTAAACATCCCAAAGCCTAGGTCAGCACACCAGGTGTCGGGACTGGAGTCAGATACAAGTAATCACAAAAGAAACAGAGCTCTGTTGTCAGTCAACTCTTTGAGGAAACAACACACAACTCGGCAACACTTCTCAGTTGGTCTTGTCCCTATGACACAGTTTCCAGGCTTCCCCTCTCCCGGATGTTTTCCAACAGTTTCAAACGGTGTCTGTGCACCTCTGGCCTCTGTTCTGCTCTCTTCGTTATTCTGCATGTTCTTTGAGACCAGGGAAAGGGGAGCTTGTCACAGCAGGAGGGGGAGACTCCTGGGATTCTTCAGCAGCCGCTTATCCTCCCTCCTCTACTCAGACACTGAACTGCTCCCTGTCACTGCTCACTAAACTCACTAAACTCTGCTGCCCCTTCAGCATCCATCACCTTCTCCCAGTCTTCTTCCTCTGAAGAAGATCCCTTTCCTCAATGCCCCACCACCAATCCCCTGGCACCTCTGGG